CCCACTTTTGTAGTCTGTCTAAATCTAGTTGCAGCCTCTCTCTCCCTTCAAGTGTGCCCACCTCGCACCACTTCTTAGTGTCATCAGCAAACTTGGACAATGTGCTTTCAACCCCCTACTTATGAAGTTGTTAAACAGCGCGGGCCCGAGGACTGAGCCCTGGGGGACTCCACTGCTTGCATCTCGCCAGGTTGAGTACGCCCCGTCCACCACTACTCTCTGGGTGCACCCCATCAGCCAGTTTTTTACCCATCCAACTGTGTAGGCATCAATGCCATAGTTGCTTAAATGTGTTAATGAGAATGGGGTGAAAGACAGTGTCAAAGGCCTTCTTAAAGTTTAGAAAGACTACGTCCACGGTGACACCATCATCCAAGGATTTAGTTACCTGGTCATAAAAGGCAATCAGGTTGGTCAGGCAGGACCTGCCTTTGATGAACCCATGCTGGTTGCATGTGAGCATGATCTCCCCTGCTAGCCCCCCACAGATGTGCTCCTTGATGATTTTCTCCAAGATCTTCCCGAGGACCACGGTGAGGCTTACGGGCCTATAGTTACTTGGGTCCTCCTTCCTCCATTTCTTAAAAATGGGGACCACATTAACTAGTTTTTAATCCCCTGGCACCTGGCCAGATGACCACGAATGCTCATATAGCCGGGCCAAGGGTTCTGCGATGACCCCTGCCAGCTCCTTCGATACCCTTGGGTGGAGGGCATCTGGACCTGCAGATTTAAAAATGTCCAGCCCTTCCAGAAGATCCCTAACTACCTCTGTGCTGACCCAAGGCCTGTCAGAGCTATCTCTTAGATTGACCCTACCTCTGTCAGGAGGGATGTCCCGGTCTCTGTTCAAGAAAACAGAGGCAAAGAAACTGTTAAAAATATCAGCTTTCTTGTCTGGCGTAGCCACAAGGTTACCATTTGAGTCTTGCATGGGCCCTACATTGGCTGGTGCCATCTTCAAAAAGGACTTTTTGTTGTCCTTAATCCAGGACGCTAGCCTGAGTTCCATCTCTGCTTTGGCCTTCCTAATAGCCCTCCTACACTCCCGGGCCGAGGAGGAGTACTCCTCCTTGGTGATAGTTCCTCCCTTCCATTGGTTGTACGCCACCCTTTTAGTCCTCAGGCATTCCTAAATGCCCTTGTTGAGCCATGGGGGTTTCTGAGTACTCTTACCCACCTTGCTTCTCTCAGGGACTGTTACCCTTTGGGCCTGGAGGATCGCCCCCTTAAGGTACGACCATCCCTGACGGACTCCCAGCTCCTCTACCTTCTGGGCCCTTAGTGCCTCCCCCACTAATCTCCGAAGCTCATTGAAGTTGGCCCTTCTGAAGTCAAGGGCTTTAGCCTTGCCCTTGACGTGCTGTGCTGGATAGTGAATTCCAGCAGGTGATGATTGCTATTGTCCAGGTGGTCGAGGACCTGCAGTCCCCTCACTAGGTCATCCCCACTGGCCAGGACCAGATCCAGCAAGGCGTTACCCCTAGTGGGGCTGTGCACCTCCTGGATAAGGTGAAGGTCCTGTAATACAGCCAGGAACCTATGTGAGCGGTCAGACCTGGTTGTCTGCTCCCTCCCAGCAAATGTCTGGGTAGTTTAGGTCACCCATGACAATGACATCCCTTGACCTAACCATCTCCATAAGCTGACTGGAGAAGTCCCGGTCCAGCTCTTCCCCCTGGTTGGGTGGTCTGTAGTAGACACCCACCGTAAGGTCCCTTTCACCATGCCCTCCTTGTAGATTGACCCACAGTGTCTCCACCCGACCCTTCTCTAACCCGAAACTAATCCTTGATGTGAGTTGCTCTTTGACATAGAGCGCGACCCCCCTGCTTTTCCTCTCTCTCCTGTCCCTTCTATATAGGGTATATCCCCAAATGCCCACCACCCAGTCATGGGTAGGGTCCCACCAGGTTTCTGTGAGCCCTACTAAGTCTGAATTCTTACTCACAATCAGGAGGCACAATTCCTCCTGCTTGCTCCTCATACTACAAGCATTGGTGTAGAGGCACTTGAGGCCTCCTGAGGGGTCATGCGCCTCCCCCGTACTCCCAGGACTATTGTGGCCCCCTATTCCCAGGATGTTGTTGCTTACCTGGGCGTCCCTTCCTCTTGTCACCCTGCATGCTGGCGATTGCATGCAGGCCTCCCTGAAATTTATATTAAAGATGAAAGTAACATCTGCCAGATGCTACAGAGTACGTTTGAAGACTAGAAACTTCTGATTTTGCAGAATGTAGTGTGTCTGTTTGCTGAGCTTGACTGCTAAGGGTGCAGCTATAGAGAATTTTTTGGCTGATACCGATGGCCAATTTTTTTTAATGAGCCGTATTGGCCGATACCGATCTGATTCTGACATACAGCGTGGAAAGTGGCATCTGGTGTGGGGAAAGGGGCAAGGGGGGAGGGGAGGGAAAGGGCTTGGGGGGCCAGATTGAGGCCCTTGCAGGGAGGGACGGAGTGGGGTTGGGACTGGGGCAGGGGCCGGCATTGCACAGCTGGCTCTTCCTGGTGGAGGGCTGGGCTGGGCTGGGCTAGGCTGGGCTTGGGACAGGTGGTGGTGGCTGCACTGGAACGGGGCTATGGGGGGGCTGCAGCCACTCCAAAATTTTCTGTAGCCCCCCTCCCCCCCCAGCACCGTTGCTACCCACTCTGAGCACAGCCTAGCCTAGCCCTCCCCCAGGAAAAGCCTAGTGCCACCCTGGCTCCAGCCTGCAGCGGCAGCCCACTCCTGCCCTGCCTCCCATGCCCTCGTGGGGTGTGTGCAGCGGCGGGAGCTGTCCCCGCACTCCCTGGATGAGCCACTCATGGCTCCATCCCCTGTTCCGCCCAAGCTGTGCAGTGCCAGCACCAGCACTATTCCCTCCCTCATGGCAGAGCCTCGATCGCCGCCCCCCCCGCCGCATACCCCCTCCTGTATAACAGACTTACCAGCCGGACCCGGCTGCTTTCCACGCTGCTGAGCTGCACTTCTAGCCACCTGCGTACTGCACTGTGGCTGCACGCATGCACAGGGCATTTATTGGTGGCATTATCAGCCACATCAGCCAAGAAAAGCCAATTGCTGATACGGTCAATTTTCCTTATATAGCAAAAGCTTTGTTATCTGGCACCCATGGGGAATGTGGGGTGCCGGATAACAAAATATGCCGGTTAACTGAGGGGTCTGAACAGGCGTCTTTGCCTGTTCAGGCTGCTGCCCCTCCCTCCACATCACCCCCCCCCTCCTAAAGGCCTCAAGGGACAGGGAGGCAGGCCCCGCACAGCCCCCCATGGGGGCTCGGCAGCGCAGGCTGCTTTTCCCTGGGCCATAGGGGCTCGGCAAAACCCTAAGTGCCATGGTAGGCACTTCCAGTTTTGCTTTTACCTTACAAGCCGGCATGCCAGTTAATAGAACCTGCTGGCTTATAAGGTGCCGGTTAAGGCAGCTTTTACTGTATTGGTGCTGATCCAATATTAGACCGATATACCTCTATTGACTACTCAAGGAGAGCACATTTTACACTTTTCTGTGTTCTAGAGTGGTTTGTAGTTTATTTCCACATGCAATTCAGCATGCTGTTTTAATCCACAAAAATGTAGGATCTGGGTCCCAGTTCCTGGGGGTGGAAATTGCTTCTCTCCTTGAAAGAGCTTGTTAATAGAAAAACAGATGTCACACAGGGTAGTTGCAGGAAAAACAAACAAAAATGAAAACAAACCAGCACTTGCTTTAAACTTGGTGCCTTCCTGCGCTGAGTCCCGTGCGTGCCCAGAAGCGGCAGTGTATTACTTCAACCCGGCTTGCCCAACGTTTGTAAAGATCAGGCACTTTAGTGGGGCTTTTTGGTGCTTTTATCTAATAGCTCATTGAATCAGCTTTAGCTAAAAGCTCCAAAAAGCCCTGCTGAAGCACCCAATCTTTACAGACTCTGCAGAGCCAGGTTGAAGTAACGCTCTGCTGCTTCCAGTTAAGCATGGTTTTGTTTTTTTTGACGTCTGCAAATAGCCACAATGGTTTAAACAGGATGGGCGTATGGTAAGTAAGGGGGCTCAGTATTTGAAACTTGTTTTTGATTTGACAGTCCAAATTTGTTGACTTCAGGCATGCTCCAAAGCCTCTCTTTGTCTCTGAATCTTTTGAGAAGGTCAAGACAAAGAGGGTTAAATGAGTAGTTTAATTTTGAATGTATGATTGTCTAAAAAGGACTTTGACGTTTTAGTAAGGTTTGTAATCAGTTTGTTTTTACATATGCTGACACTGGTGTATTGGCATATCTCTTTATAAACCCTGAATGTGTAATGAAAGTGGAAGAAGTGCTAGCCTAATGACTGCTTTGATTGACTTGTCCTCTAGATTGCTACGTTTCACATATGGACCTTCATTTCCTCCATTTAAAATCCCTGATGAAGATGCTGGTCTGATTCCTCCTGAAATGGATAATGAATGCATTGCACAGACTTGGTTTCGCTTTTTACATATACTCAGGTATTGTATTTTGTAAGTAAAAAAATATGCAAGAATATTTTTTTAAAATCACATTACTTCTGAATAATATTGTTGCAGCAAGGAAAAATCTTTAATTTTGGGCATCTGAAGTGAATAAAAGACTTGTGACACTACCAGTTATGGACAAGGACTGTGGATAGAAGTTGTTCAACTTTGAGCCTATTGGCTTCTTCAGAATATAAACTTTCATTAAAAAAAAATTACTTTCCTAGCTCTGGTGTTAGAAGAAAAAATTCCAAACACAACCACATACAGTACTATCTTCCTGAGAGAGCAAACAGGAAACTAAAACAATGGCTCTGGGGGGGGCTCTGTGAGCTGCCTTCATTTATCTTGGTTGGGGTGGTGTGAGACCAAGAAAAGATTATTTTTTAAATGGGTGCATGTCCCTTTTAGTTTATGTTGCATGAGAAGGACCCGAATATTTTAATATTAGAAATATTTTAAATGTTTTTAATAAGAGAAATATAAACAAGATCAAATTTGCTTTGCTTCGGTTTTAATGAAGTTTTTCTAGGAATGCATTGGGAAAATTAAATGGCAAAATGTGATATCTTCCATGTTTCAGGAGTGTAGGTTGTAGCTCTGTTGGTCTAAGGACATAGGCAGGCAAGGTTCTTGAGTAAATCTGATTGGTCTAATAAATGATATGGATATACCTAAAGAACTTTGTCTGCCTTGGGAAAATTAAGACCTTAAAAGAGCCTTTCTGTTCACATCTTCAGTAGAAATTTCCCTTATCCAAAGTGTTAATTAGTTGTTGAAGTTAGTAAAAAAAACAAACATGGCAAACTGCTTTAAACAGTCAAAACCCAAAACTCTTTCCTCTTCTGTTTTTAGCTTTCATTTTTGGCTCTTGTTTGTGCTATTTCTCCATTTGCCATTCTTGTCCAGCCTAGATAGTCTTTCATTGGTTCACTACCAATCAAAAGAAGAGAGAAAAGAGCACAAGCCTTTTTTTCTTTGTTAGACCTCTGTTAGCAGGTCAGAAGTATCTTTAAAGCAGTGTAGATAGATAGCAATTTAAGTGTCAATGCTGTGGTTAGCCATGTACAAAATTAATCTAGTTTAAGGGCTGGCAACATTTTAGAGCAGTAGGCTACCAGTTCCCTTCCTGCTTCTTTACCCCTCTCAGCTTTGTGTGACTCCTGGTCAACAATAGCAAATGCCAGCAGGCAACTAACTTATTTTATTTTTATTTTCCACTCTGAGACAGTAAGTAGAAATGATTCTTTTTTTAATCAAGGTACAAGGGAACACAATGGTTTATTTTTACAAAAAAAATTTAGGCTGGTCTTCATGGAGACCCTGTTTTTATGTAATAGTTTTCCCTTTCAAGTTTTCTTTTAAAGTGTATACATATTTTGAATAGCAAAATTACTGTATATTTTGATGTTCTTAATATTTTAACCAGTACTTACATACTTAGGTACACTAATGTGTGTGTATGTGTGTGATTTTTTTTTTTTTATAGTAATCCTGTGGATTTGAGTAACCCAGCCATTATTAGTTCTACCCCCAAATTTCAGGAGCAGTTCTTGAATGTGAGTGGAATAACCCAAGAATTGAATCAATACCCCTGCCTTAAACATCTGCCTCAAATATTCTTTCGTGCCATGCGTGGGATCAGCTGCTTAGTGGATGCTTTTCTAGGTAACTTTTCTATTTATCTGTGAAATAGCAAGAAATAATACATGATCGAGTAGTGCTTGTTTGTTTTAGTCACAATCTTCAGAGGCCTGTGCATGCATATATTGTATGTACAGCCAACATGTTTGTCTACACCAGAGGTGTGCAAAATATGACCTGCAGGCCAGATCAGCCCACTCAGGGATTTTTTGTCTGGCCCACGGCAGGTCCTGCCCAGCCCAGGCTCAGGGGACAGCTTGGGCCATGGCACATGTGGCTGGTCCTGCTGCTCCCAGGTATACAGTGGGACTGGGATGGCATGAAGCCTGGACTTACTTCCCAGCAGCCCAGGCATGGCAGCAGCTTCTTCCAGCTTCCCAGGCACCCAGCGAGTTTGCCCTGTACAGGCAAGGCACATGGCTGGGTGGATGGGAGAGGGCCGTGGGCAGGCAGAGAGCAGTGTTTGGGAGTGGGACAGGTGGGATTGTGGGCTGGGGCCAGGCGACAATCCCCTGCCTACGTGGTCCTGCGTCGGGCAGGGACTTGCAGGCAGTGGATCGTGGCTTTACCCCAGCCCTGTGCTGTCACTGCCCCAAGATCCTGGACCTGGCCCCGGATGCAGCACTTTACCTGCCTGTGGCCCTTCTTACCGCATAGGTCCCGGCTGGTCTTCATGGGGAACCTAGGCTCGCTGAGTAGTGACAGTGTGGTGCTGGGGCCCAAGGCAGAGCCATGATCCACTCCCCACATGCCCCTGCCATTGTAGGGGTGTGTGGGCAGCAGATCATGGCTCTGCCCTGGACCCCAGCCCTGTGCTGTCACTACCCACAATCCCAGCCTGGCCCCATGTGCCTGTCCTGCTCCCTGCCCACTGTGGCCCCATCCCAGCCTCCTGGCTGAGCATGTAACAGAGCCACTTTGGGAGTTTTGGTGAGCTGTTATGCAGGGTGGGGGGTGCTTACCCAGCACATGATGGCTCACCAAAACTCCCTATGTGGCCTTGTGGCCCAAATAATTGCCTACTCCTGGTCTACATCCTCACTGTAACTGGCAAATGAGGATTCTGATTTGTATCCATAGTTACTGCATTGGCATGCATGTTCTTGCAAATGTGCATACAGTTCTGAAAGTCTAGGATAGTGATTCTTAACCAGTACTGTAAGATCTTTTTAAGGGTGTCATGTGCTGCCTTGCATTATTACATTATTGCCATTGTTAGGTGTGCAAACACCTGCACATGATTCGCAGGATAAATCCAGAGATTTCAAATAGGAATCCATAGTGTCTCAAACATTTTGAGTTCTTTGTAACAGAAGAATTGCTCTGGTTTTTTTGTGCGTTGTTGTTTTGTATGTTTGTTTTTTTTCCTGTAGTCAATGTCTGGGAGATGCTAAAACCTGGAATTTTTCCAGGGGGTGCCTTGAATATAAAAAAGGTTGAGAACCACTGATCCTGGGACCTATATAGCATGGTCCAAACACTAAATCTTCAGCATAAAAATTAGTTATCCAAATCCACATGTCAGCTGAATCAATTATCCCATTTTTCAGGGATTCTGAGCGTTAACAGTTTAGACTGGGGTGGGCAGTTTGGGTTGGAGGGCCACTTACGGAATTTTGTTGAGTTGTTGTGGGCTCGAGAGGGGGGAGGTACTGAGTCTTCCCGGTGGAGTCGGGGGGGAGGGGGCAGGATTCTATCCAGCCCAGGCCTGTCCACCCCACACCCACTGTTGGAGGCATCAGACGGAGCAGGCAGGTGGGCAGAATCTCCATGGTAACTGGCTAACACCCACCCCACTCCTTCCTAAGAAGGGTGCACTTGTCTGGGTGGATGGGATGGGGATGCGGGCTGGTGGGGAGTGCTGTCCAGGAGCTGGACTGGCTGGCAAGGTCGAAACAGGGCCGGAATTATGGGACAGTGACAGCCCAGGCCAGAGCCCAGGGCAAAGGTAGGATATGCCTGGTCTCCCTCCAGCTACATAAATTGCTTTCTAAGCAGCACATTCCTTCCCTCCCTCTTTGGTGATGTGTTATACCATACATTACAATTTTCTAATTCTGTTTCCCTGACTGATAGTATCATTCGTTGCAATCTGCCACTGGTGACTTCTTATACCTGGTTTGCTCTTGGCTTTGGGTTCTTGAATAATATTGCTACCCCTGCTGCTTTGTTCTCGCTTGTTCCTGACCATCAAGATAGTCCCCATCTCCATCTTTTCTCAAAATGTTTATAATCTCTCTCCCCTGGTATATCACATTCTTGTAGGCAGATTAGGTTTGTCCTTACTTGGTTCAAGACTGGTTCAATCTGTTCCAATCTTTTTCTTGTTAGGATACTCCTGGCATTAAGCAAAACTTTTGTCAATGTCATTTATGCTTGTTTTAAAATGATTGTGCCTGTTCCTTTAAGTTTTGTCCATGCTTACTTTGAGCGGAGTGCACCAGTCCCTTTAAGGTTCATCTGTGTGACTGATCAGGGTGGTTGACTTCTCCCCCTCTCTTGCTCATCCCTGTAGCCTTTGAAGCTGCCAGATTACTTCTGCATTTAGGAAGGCTTACGTATACTCCCTCCTCATTGCTTCCTGCCTTCTGGTCTCCATTTTGGGCTGGAGCCCAGAGGCGTTAGCAGCAGGAAACTGCTCTCAAGCTCCTCCTCCAACTTGCCTCCCTCATTATCAGATTTCTCGTCTTAAGCCACTATGTTTTCTTTCTTTTCCAGGCCTGTTTCTTTGGTTCTTTTTCTTGCTCTATCTCTCTTTCTGTTGTCTGTAGGGTGTCTTCTTTCTTCCCCATCCCCACATCTGACCTTTTTGCTGTTTCCACCTTCCCTTACATTCAGTGTCATATCTGCTCCTGTGCTGCCTCAATCACAGAACTTTCATCCCCACTCCTTTTCTGTTTCACCCTCTTGTGGAGTTTCTTACACCATTTCTACCTCAGTGTCCAACCCCTCTTCTCCTCCACTCTCCTCCTGTGGGTTTTGCTGTTCTTCAGGGGGTCTGACTATATTTGCAAAGGCTTTGGGACACCTACGATACAAGTATCTCTCTCCTTTACAAAAAGTGCATTATAGGGACTCCTGGCACTCTGTTGCTCTGTGCCCTATCCCTTCACATATGCGACACACTGTGGGGGCAGTGTGCAAGCAGGTGCCCCATCTTTCTGCATTTGCTGCACCATTTTGATTGCCCTTGGTACATTATAAAACTTCGGTGTGCCCTGATCTGCATCACTGATGCAGCACCCCACCTGGGCTCTACTTGTTTGCTTGTAACACTATTTGTGTCCTCCAAGATTCCATCCAGATACCATATTTGTCCCTTACTTTTTCTACTGACATTGCCCTTTGGATGTAGTTTTCCAACTTTCTATGTCTTTTGTCTCTAGTATAAATCTGTGTACATTCGAACTACAATCACTCTTTCTCTTGACTTTTCCCCTGCTATGAACTTTCTCCCTCTTAATTTGTCCCTGCTATGTTTCTTTGCATATTTCTTCCAAAAGTTCTCGTATGCTTCTCTATCCCAGTAAGTAAATTCACAAGTCTTTCAGTTTGAGAAAGCAATCAGGCTGGTGAGACACATTGCCTGCACCTCCAAAATCTCAAACAGTACCTTTTCTAGGAATTCATCCATTTGTCTGTCCTGTCTGCCTCCCATTGCTGGTTAAAGTTGCCTTTATTTGTTGTCCCTGTTCCACTCTAGCTTTTCTCAGCGTCTCTTCCTTGTTTTTCTGCCATGCCAATCCCAGTGGGCTGGCCTGCCATTGTGCTCCCACTGTTCTTTGCTTCCCATCCATTGTACTTTCCCCTGCTCCATCTCCCATTCTCCTCTGCTCCTGGTGTTGTCACTCTCATCATTGCTGCCTCACCTGTTGCTCTCATTGTCCCCTTTCCTCCTTTCTTTTCCACCGTCATCTATTCTCAATCCGTCTCCAGATCTTCATTTCCATTCTTCAGCTCTTTTTCTACCTCATGATTACTTGTCACCACTGCCGTTGTTTTGAGCTTTGGGTCTTCCTCCTCTACTCCTTGCACCTCGATGTTCTCTTGATCCCTTTCTTTGCCTTTAAGGCAAAGATCAGGCTTTCAATGCTGATGGGTACCTACCACAAGAATTGGTTAGTGTAGACCATCTGAATAAAATATAGTGGTCGTTGTGCTCAATCCTGCTCAGCATCAACTTTTTCAAGTCACGGTGGACCACAACATCAAATACATTTGACTTTCTCTTCATTCCCACAGTTGAGCAGTACCTTTCTTTCCCGTTTCCAATAATTCTTGTTTTTGTAGCAGCCCTAAAATGTCAAATGCCACCTAACTTTTATGTAGCTGAGAGATGCTGTTGCCCCCTCTCTCAGCCTGATCAGTCTTGCCCTTCCCTCTGTAGGATAGAGATGGACCAGGTTACCTTGTGCCTCACCTGCATATACATTTTTGGAGGGTCCTAGGTCTTGTGACAAGTACACCTGGTGCTAGTCATGAGTGGGGAGCTGATTAGCACGTGAATCCTTTGTGGGCGGGAGATCCTGGAGTACACATACACACTGAGCAGTGCTGGGCTGTGGGGTCACCATGGTTTGAAATGCTTTCGATTCTGCTGGGGCCTGGCCCAGTGAACCGTATAACAAGCCATGAGCAGGGATCCTGGTTTTCCCTGATAAAAAATTGCAAATTACCTGATTTTAAAACATCTCATATTCTCTGATTTTTAAAAACCCCAAAATCCATAATTAAAATTAAAGGCCCCTCACTCCCCCACACAACCCCTGGTCCTGCTGGTGTCCCTTTCTCATCATCATCTTCTCCTTCCTCCTCCTCCCCCCCCCCCCCCCTCCTCTTCGGGGGGGGCCCCCCCGCCCGGGGCCC